GAGTGGAATTGGTTGACTCGGAGATGATCGAGTTTGAGGTGGAGTCGAAGACAAATGGGGTGAATACAGTGGAGGTGTTTGATGCGGTGGTTATCTGTAACGGTCACAATAGTGAACCTCGGCCTGCATTTGATATTCCAGGTCTATCTTATCTGAAATGTATTTTTTATTATAATATATTTCTATTTTGGAAAATTTCATACAATAAAATCTATATGTTTTTAAAAGACAAATCGCAATTAAAACTAAAAGGAACTATAATACCAATGTTTAAAAGCCGGTTTTTTAATTGAATAGGTCTAATGACCGGTTCAACTAACCATCAATTTACATCTGGTAGTGGTATACATCGGCTTTCGAGTTATGTACACTCCAGAAAACTTGATCCATCAAGCTATTCAATTTTCTATAGAAATTGATTGTTTTTTTTAATAGGCAGAGTGAAATCCAACTATCTAAGTCCAGTAAACCAGTTCAAACGGTTTTTTTACCAATTTTATGACACCGATTCAACCCGGTTTTTGAAGAATCCGTCCAATTCAATCCGGTTTAAAACTTAACATAAAACCAGTCGTTGTTGAAATGCTCTCGTCCTCAGTTCTGGTCCGGTCAATTCAAACAAATTTTTAAAACACTGATAAATACATGATTTGCAAATACTATCTCATGAAGTCATGACACACAATTTAATATGTTTTACGTGTAACAACCAATATATCAATTCTTTTTGAAATATTGCAACTTAACTAAGGTAAATAGATACTCATCTTTTTAGATACAATGCCAAGTGCTAACTTCATGCTATGCCCTAAGGCTGGTCGGAATACCTTAACCGCACACCACAGTTGGGTGAGGTGTCACCACGGTGGTGACATGTTATGAACACCACACCACTTGGTGTATGGTGGGTTCGGTGAATAGTGACGTGTGGCGAAGTTACACAACATGCTATTCTTATTTTTTCCAATGGTCATTTTTCATTTTTTTTAAACTGACCACTATAAATACAATACTACCAAATATTTTATTTCACACAAATGCTAGCCTTTTTACTACGCATTTCACACCTAACACTGTACTTTCTACTACCAAAATGAATCCAAACAACTCTCCCATCAAAATCACCCCCAAGATCCGGCTGAAACAAGTCACAAGTAAGTGCTTCAACAAATCCGATTCAAAATGTTGTCGTTTTCAACTATTTAATGGTTTTTATTTAATTAATGAAATCTTCCTCTTTTATTATTTTAAATATTTATATAATTATTAAATTACATTTTAATATAATTAATAAATAAAAAAAGGTAAGATATAATCATTTTCTATCCATCCACCACCTAAGGTGTAGCTAGGGATGAGCATTTAGATTGGGGAACCGGCCGGAACCGGTACCGGAACCCGAACCGGAACCGGATAGAACCGATCGGGCCGGGACCAGGACGATATTCTTGTGGATTTTTGGAACCGGGAACCGGTAGAACCGGCAAAAACCGGAACCGTATATTGCTATTTCTCGAGGACCGGTTCCAACATTGAAGACATGACAAGAACCGGTAGGAACCGGAACTGGTAGAACCGGCGGTCCGGTTCGGTTCCTATTTTCCACCAAGTTCGGTTCCCTGGCCGGTTCCGATGTTCATCCCTAGGTGTAGCACAATTGATTTCAGGCAGTAACTTTACATACAAATATTTGAATCTCGGCAGCCTTTAGTTGATTCCTTTAGAACAGAAGCTTCCACTATATATTATTAAATCCATTAAAGTTTTTATATCTTTTTCAAAAATGATATAGGTATCCAAACGTGGTCTAAGAAGCAAATGCATAGTCACAACTATCGTGTTCCCGAACCATTTCGAGATCAGGTTAGTAATAAGAAAATATGAAATACAAACATGCTATTATTAAACATTTGATCTATGTATTTAAGCGTGTCTTCAAATTATAGTAGTATAATTTAAAAAGATTTAGCAGCTTATATCAACTAAATAAACTCGTTTTTTAGGTTCAAAAGAGAATATACATATAACATATTAATTAAATATTTTTTATTTCTAGTAATCAAAAATAAACATGTAATTTAAAATCATGAAAAGATTGTAGTTGTAATTGGGAATGGGCCAAGTGCGTTGGACTTGTCAAGAGAAATAGCAACGGTTGCCAAAGAAGTTCACATGTCATCAAGATCTCCGCATGTTAAAGTCTCGAAATCGGAGAAGTTCAGCAATATCTGGCAGCATGCTAAGGTAATTTAAAGTATATGATTACTCTTTATTAGAATGACTAAATGCGCAATTTAAAGTCTCTTATGTCTTTCGTCTACTTAAAATCAAAATGGGTGATTTTAGTAGAGGTCTTGACCCAAATATATTTGAGAAAACTGACAAATTTAGTAGAAGCAGCAGCATCAATTGAGGCTTCGGAAGCAGCCTTTTTGGTTTGTGAAGCAACTTGAGTGAGGAAGCAAACTTGGCTTCAAAAAGGGGCAAATAAGGTTGCGGAAGTGGCGTGTTTTGCATTGGTCTTGTATATTATACATTTAAATGAATTTTCATATTAGTAGATATGTAATTTATAATGATTCTAAACTTTGTCTCTTATACTATATAAAGATATATAAACATGACAAATACAAATTTTTTCTATTTTTATTTGACAGATAGATTGTATCAACGAGGATGGTACAATTACATTTGAAGATGGATTATCAGTTGATGCACATATCATATTCCATTGCACTGGGTCTCTCTCTCTCTCTCTCTCATATATATATATATATATATATATATAATATATATATATATATATATATATATATATATATATATATAGTTCAAGTCCCACATAGGACAAAAAAATATAGATTTAGGAGTTGATTAGTAGATACGCGTATAAGTCATTCTAAAAAAATGTATATAATAGAAAAAATCGAGGTCACTTGAATTAATCACTTCACATTGGAGTTTATCCTGGTTCAAAACTCACAAACTTCAACTTAGGATGACATGTCCTTAACAAAGTTTAGAAAATATTATTAGCAGTTAAAGATAAGGTCGTCTCCACCCATGACACATTTTTGCTTCAAATTTGGACAAATATTGTTTCATCACTCTCGCCGATGAAAAAGAAATAGAACTGGAAAGATCCAAAGAAGACTTTCACTCAGCAGGAGATCTTCTAACTTTATATTAGTGCCCTCCCTTTGAATCTTCGTTAAGGCCTTTAGTCTTTTGATTAGAGTAGGGGTCAAGTTTGTTTTATTAATTCACCAAGTACTTTAGTTGCTAGGCAATATGCAGTTCCTAATTGTCCTTTATCTTCAGGATGATTACATTTTTGCTCCAAGATTTTGCAAATATTGTTTCATCTTGCATACCATTTTTATACAAAAAGTATACTCTTAATATATTATTTGTTTGAGACTTATATATTTTTTTCTAAAACATCCTTTATGTTTATCATCTTTCTACACATTTATCTTGCATCTTTTTTTGTCACAATGACTTTATAAATCATATTATCATATAATTATAACCAAATAAATTCTTAGTTTGAATTAATTTAACATATACCCTATATATTATAAAAAGTAGTTGTCTATACAACTTAATAAGCTAGAAACATACAAACCTAAAATTTGAATGACCAAAACTGACACATGAAATTTTCTATCATTTTGGTGTCAAAAGACAATTCAATGCCAAATTTGGTTTTATATTATTCCTTTACACCAAAATGCTATAAAAATGGTACAAAAAATAAAATTGGGTGTCAGGTTGGATATGTTCTAAACATATAGACTTCACATTTTAGGTACAAATACCATGTTCCATTTCTTAAGACTAATGACATTGTGAGTGTACAAGACAAACGCATTGGACCTCTCTACAAACATGTTTTCCCCCCACAACTAGCTCCAAGACTATCTTTTGTTGGACTACCCGAAAGGGTAAGTATATTGTTACTATTTTCCTTTTCATTTTATATCATTGATAATGTAAAACACATATAACTAACATGATTTCCTAATATTAATTAGAGTCTTACATTTCTAATAATCGAGTGTCAATCAAAATGGATAGCAAAGACGTTGTCAATGAAGATATCATTGCCATCAAAGGATCAAATGTTAAGAGACATCAAAGAACATCATGGAGATACAGAAGATGATGGATTTCCTAAAGCTTACAAGCATTTTTTTGAAATTGAGGTCTTTCTAAAGCTATTATTTTTATATCCTTCCTTAACTTAAATGCTAATAGTGTGTACATAACATCTTAACGCCTAAATCCTAATGACAGAATGATTACATAGATTGGGTTTCTGCTCAGTTGGGAATGAACGTGGAAAAGAAATTTGCAGAGATGTTCAAATACATCATCTATTGTGCCAAGTCTGGGAATTACGATGATATTATGAATTTATTCAAGGTGAAATTTGGTATATAATTATGGGCTTTCGGACGATGGTCTTCATGTATGCTTATTAAACAAATGTCTAGAAAGAAGATGTAATAAAATGAGTAGCTCAATTTACAAACAGTTATTTACATGTACTATGCTTACTCATGTGCTAATAAATTTATCGTAATGTTAAAAAATAATACCAAGTATAACAACATTCTACAAATTAGTTAAAAAATAATACCAAGTATAACAACATTCTACAAATTAGTTGTATTAGGGGCTTGAATCCTCGATAACAATATTAGAAGTTTGATAATGAAACTAAATGACTATTTTACCCTTATATTGCAAAAAACAAATCTCACAATATTTGTCTATTTTAAATTGCAAGAAGTTTGAAAGGAAAAAAAAAAAAAAAAAACGTTAGTATCTTAACCATTAAGCCATTTTTTTTACCTAACTCATTAAGTCATTTTGTCTTGATCAAGTAAATATGAAACAACCATGTACAGATATCCAGATCAAGTATTTAACAAACTAAATGAAACAGCCTAATGAGCATAAAATTAGTTGTAGCTGCAACTGATCATGGTCTTAAATTAAAAAATAAAATGTACTCGAACCAGTTTTACACTTACAACACGACTAAAAATAAACAAAGGGTTTGATAATCTTTGCAGAAAAACCATGAGAATTTGCATCTAAAATAAATAAAAACAAATCCACAATTTTCCCATTGCTTCTTCTATGTCTGCTTGATAAGGTACCCAACCACAAAACTTATTATACCCACCACCACCAGAAATAATATCGAATAACCGCCTGATTGATTTTTCACAGTTTGTTTTCTCATCAACTCCTATTTTTAATTCAAAACAACATAACAAAATTCATATATCTGTTATTTTAGAATAATATAAATAAGAGTAAATTACAAATTCAGTCCCTTCACTTTACTCAAAACCACAAGTTTGGTCTAATTTCTGGGAACTAAATCCGGAACTAAATGCAAACTTAAGGAAGCCTTCCGGAAGATTTCAAAGAATGGAGTAAACTTACAAATCTTAGTAAAGTACAGGGACCAATTTTGCAAATTGTCTATATAGTAGGTTATAAGATGCAAAAAGACATACCAGTTCCTGTTGGAGCTTCTGACTTTGTTTAAGAGCAGCTGTTTTTTCATCAGTCAACCTTGATACCATAGAAACCGACTGCAGCATATATTACAATAATACCCTCGTTACATTAATCATAAAGAAATTCCCTAATCCCTACAGATGCACTCATGCTAATCATCCTTGTTAAGATCCATAATATTGCTTTCTTTGTTAAGGGTCATTTTAGGGATTTGACAAAAACTCATAATATTCAACACCGAATCAAGACATAAAGAAATTGTTTCATGAGTCATGCAGATAGTATGTAGTATAACTGTATGAATGAATACCAATATTTAAGTCTTTATTTTCCATACTACAAGAGAGAAGAACTTCTATTATAGAATAAAAAATAATAAACTAAGCATTTTATAGAATACAAAAACAAAATAGGCTTCTGAGAAGAAATATACAATCACCTCTGCAGAGAGCTTCTCCTTGGGATCCACGGATCTTGTTGTCTACATTCATACAATAAAATAAACTCTAAGCTTTTGGAAATGATTGAATGAAAAGTTATATTAGCAAAAACAAAAATTGCTTACAACATCAGGCCATGAAGAATTTTTTGACTTCCATCTTCGCCCCTCGGGGAAGAACCTTCTTCAGATTCCTCTGGCACAGGTGATGGAGGATTAGCAGGAATGTATACAACCCTCAATTTAAACTCCTCAACAACCTTGTTCTCCTCTTTATTGAACTACAAAAAAAACACAGATAGTTTTAGTTTTCGATTCATAATCAGATAATCAATCTACCACATAACTTTGCACTAAAAAACTAAAGTTCATGAAAAGATGAGTCACCATGTTGGCAGTTATGTCCTTATTAGTTGCCCCATTAGGTGCAATAACAGCTTGCAAGAGAAACTTGTCTTTGCACTGCATGTCAGAAGGTGTCTCTTTCTGTGCTTGCATTGTAACTACAAAAAGTCAAAGAAATTTGTAAGTCATGATCCACATTAATTGTCCCACATAGGTTGAGAATGAGATTAAATGTTAGTAGGATTATATGGTAAGATTTGTTACCTGTGACATTACAAACTGATCTTGGTAATACAATTCCAGTGTTTGGACGAACACAATATTTTTTGGGGTTCGTTGTTTTAACCTTCAACCACATGATAATATTACAGAAGCTTATGGAAGACAATAAGTTAAAAGTTACTGAAGAAATTTAAGTACCAATCAAGTACCTTGAAGGCAATATATTGATCAGTCTTGTTGGTCAACTGTAAGGAACATGAGCTCTGCTTCTTCAACTCAACTATCACAAATAAAAATGAATCCATTTTTGTTTTTTTTTTGTTCACATAGAGGAGCATAGGAGTATAGCAAAGAACAGAGATAAAAGTATGTGTAATAGAAGAATGCAAGCACTAATCTAAAATTTACATTAGTGGGTTGATTTATCTCAAATTCATATCAAAATAACTGCAGAATTGAGCAGAATTCACAAGAAAACCGATGCTTTGATAAAACTTCATTTAAAATTCCACATCTTTTTTTCATTTTATGAATCTCAGAAGAAAGCTGCTATTTTTATCGGTCTTCCTATCTAATCTTGTTCATGGAGTCATCTGCTCGATTATGAAGTCATGTAGACTTGTAGTTGACTTGTGATTGACCACTTATTCTTTGATAACGACTATAAAAACCTAACAGACGCTCAATCAAAAACCCTAAAACGAATCAATAAACAACTCTTAAATCACACTTCTATTCAGTTAGCATGAAATCACGAGTAACCTGATCGAACTAAAACGCGTAGTACACTCCACGACAGAACTCAGGAGTACATCAAACAAATCGCAAGTACAAAATCTAAAATTACAGAAAAAAGAACATTAATAACAGCAAGATCAAAACTAACAACTTACATGGAAATTTGAGTTCTGAAGGATGAAGATTGAGAAAATCCCCGGTGCTCATGACTGTAAATGCAACAAATTCCGATCCGGGAACCCCTAATTTGATGAATTTTGTGTCGAGCAATGGCAAGAATGGGTGAGGAGTTCGGTTAGGGTTCTTAATTTTAACGTATTAATTTAAAGAAGCGATAGACTGGTCCTGTTGATTGACGAAACTAACCCTGATGGAGGTGGGCTTTTTAAAAGGAGGTGGCGAGCAGCTTTGAGTCTGATTAAGGGTAAATATGGGAAAAGACACTCTCTGGTTATTATCGCCAATACCCTGGTCAAGGGTGGATGGCTCTTTTGGGAGAAAAAAAAAAAAATGTTTGGTGGTATGAATTATGGGACCCCCGGTACAACGTGGCATAGTGTCAAACGAGTCAGTCAATTTCTTTTTTGACATCTTATCGACGTGTTGGATTTCTTAAAAAGGATAATTTTTTGGAGTTTACATTATGAAAATTCTTGAAATAACCAAAATTGAGGGGGTGTTCTAAGCCTTTAACCAAGAAATTTTGAGTTTTGGAAAATGACCACGAGATTCGCAGAGGGGTTATGTGGATCACTTTAAACCTCTGAGGAACGATGAATAGTACCGAATAACTGATGTGACATCACTAAATGACAAAAAAATTACCACGAGATCCGCAGAAAAATCAATAATTTCGCAGAGGTGTAGCAGGGATCGGCAGAGCCGTCTCTGCGGATCTGTCGGAGAAGACCAACTACCGATTCCTTAGAAAATTTAAACTTTCGTAGAGCCACCTCCGCGGAACCATTATATCCCCAATATTTTTTGTCATTTAGTGATGTAACGCCAATTAATCGGTACTATTCATCGTTTCTCAGAGGATTAAAGCGATCCGCAGAGCCCCTCTGCGGATCTCGTGGTCATTTTCCAAAATTCAAATTTTCATGGTTAAACGTTTGGGAAAATGACATAAAAGCCCTTAAGTTTTCACAAAAATGTCGGTTTTACCCTTGGACGTGTTTTATGTCCAGTAAAACCCGAAGTTTTGTTTAATTTGTTCATTGTTACCCTTGTAGCCGGTTTTCAGGTAACCTACCGTAGCGGTTTTCAGGTAACCTACGTTACCTATGTCAGTAAAGCCCTTGAATTTTCAAAAATGTTCAGATTTACCCTTAAGTTTTTCAAAAATGTTTCGATTTACCATTACATTGATTGATTGATTGATTGTTGTTGTTGTTGTTATTATTATTATTATTATTATTAGTATTTTATTTATATATTATATTTTAATTAAATAAAAATATTATACATACATTTTTAAATGTATAAAAATATTTTATACACACATTTTTAAATGTATAAAAATATTTTTACTAATATAAATATATTTTTAAAAATATATGTACTTGTATTTAGTATTTATATACATTTGAAAATCCTAAATCTTCATCTATAATTGTTGAATCGAACAGAAAAGGCTTGATAAAGTAAAAAATGCCGTTAATGACTGAATTTTGCCAAAAAAAAAATGCTTCAGATCAATATAAAAAATGATGCATTTCGTGATTTCTTTTTTGTGAACTATAACAAACATAAATGAAGTTTACACTCGTATTTGACATTTCATTATCAATTTTTGAGATATAAAATAATTAATGATGATTTTAAGTTGATAATACTTAATTTTTACAGTAATCAAGTGGTTTGTCGAGGGTTTTTTTAATTATATTATGTATTTTTCATTTACGAGTGTTATTGTGATCATTTATTGTTATCTACTCACTATTAACCTAATATAGTTGAATAATAGAGGTTTTCAAATTTTTATACTAAATCTTATCTGTAATCGACTGTTTTATTGAGGTTTTCTAATTACGAGGGTTTTTATAATTGTTACGTTTATGTTTTTAATTAACGAATATTTATTTTGCTTTTGCTTATCTATTTAGTCGAGTTTGAGTAATTAAAAACATATTTATACGTGGTAATATGTACAAATACATATAATTATATCTTTTTATATAATAAACCCTATAAATATGTATTTTATATTGTTGTATATAATATTTTTTTATATGAAATACACTATTTATACGTATATATACTAAATACAAATTAAATACATTTAAAAATGGGTATTTACTATAGTTATACATTTAAAAATGTATTAATAATAATATAATTAATAATAATAATAATATGTATAAAAATGTATTAAAAAACGTATGAAAAATTTTTATTCATTTAAAAATGTATGTAAAAAATATTTTTATACAATTAAAAATGTATTAATAATAATAATAATAATAATAATAATAATAATAATAATAATAATCAAAATAACAATCAAGGTAAGGGTAAATCCGAACATTTTTGAAAAACTTAAGGGTAAATCCGAACATTTTTGAAAATTCAAGGGCTTTAATGGCATTAGGTAACCTAGGTAATCGGTAGGTTACCTGGGGAAACCGGCTACAAGTAAAAAAATGAACAAATTACAACAAAACTTCGGGTTTTACTGGACATAAAACACGTCCAAGGGTAAAACCGACATTTTTGTGAAAACTTAAGGGCTTTTATGTCATTTTCCCTAAATGTTTAAAACACCCCTTAATTTTGGTTATTTCATGAATTTTCTCTACTAAACATAATTTTTTCATTTACATTTTTATAAACTCAAAATCTCATTTATATATCTTTATAAATTTTATAACGACATATATATCATCCTAAATCTACAAAATTCACATTTATATTCAATCTCATATTTTAATTAGAGTTAAACTAACTTAATGTTAAAAAAATAGAATTCAAAATTATATATGGTGTTACTAAAATACCTTTCCTAAATTAAAGATTACAATTAAACCATTTTAATTTGGATAAATCCAATTAAATCAGGCCATGATCTACAACTTTTTTCCTAATTTAAAAATCATTTTCTAAAAGTCGAATAACCATGTTCATCTTCTTCATCTCTTGGTTCTTTATCGTTCAAGAATAACACCAAGCTATTTTGAACTTCATCACACGGTTCTTCATCGTCCATGAATAATAAGTTATTTTGAACGATGGTCAAATAAAACACCAAACTATTGTAAACAAAATGTTGGGTGCAAGAAAGTTATGATTTATCGAATAAACTATGTTTAGACATAAATCATAATTTTTTTATTAAATGATTAAGGATCCTATGATCGATTTCAAGTCGTCAAGTGGGTATATTATATAGCATTTAATGCTTTTAAATTAAAAGGTGAACTAAAAGACAAATAATTTTTATGTAATACAACTTACAATGTTTGTGGTATGAAAACTTGGAATAAATCTTCTCTAAGAATGTGCATAGATGCAACATAAGATTAGACCATGATACCTTTGTAAAGAAATATACCCTTGACTTCTAGACTAGATGACATCACCTTCAAATCCCAAATTTACACTTGCTTACGTATATTCAACAAGAATAATCTTCATAAACTTCAAAATTTTATCACTTCTAGCGTCCAAAATCTATTTACATTTAATTTGAACCAAACACAACCATTCAACCAATTATTTGTTCACGTTATTATTTGTTGACAATATCTTGGTGTTTTATTTGACTATCGATCAAAATAGCTTGTTGTTATTCCTGGAAGACAAAGAACTGTGCAATGAAGAAGATGAACTTGATTAGTCGATTTTTAGAAGATGATTTTTCGATCAGGAAAAAAAATGCATATCACGACCTGATTTAATTGGATTTATCCAAATTAAAATGGTTTAATTTTAACCTTTAATTTAGAAAATGTATTTTAATAACATCATATTGAATTTTGAATTCTAGGTAATTTTTTAATATTAAATTGGTTTGATTCTAATTAAAATATAAGATTTGGTTTAGATGTGAATTTTATAGATTTAGAATGATATATATGTAATTCTAAAATCTATAAAGATAAAGTAATATTTTAAGGTTATAAGAATATGAATGAAATTTTCTTTTGGTTAAATTTTTTTTAAAAAAAAGAAGATATTTATCTCAATAACCAAAAAAATAAATAATAACAGGGTGTTAGTGACGCGATTGCATGGATCGTCAATCATAATAGGCTTCTGATCAAAAAACTGTCCTTTATATTTATATTTATATTATTAAAAGATTAAAAAAATACATTAATTAAAGTATAGTTGCATGCTATTAATCTCCTTCATGTTATTTATGTCGATTAGAATTTACATATGCCATATAAACACAAATTGCAAAAAATATTGAAAATAGGTTATAAATGGCAATGAACTACAATTGTTACACAAAAAATGCACCAACTAAGATAATATAACCAACCCAGTAATATTTATTTTTAAAAAAATGAAAAAGTTCTTTGTATACAAATTAAGTTTTCAAAACTAAAACTTTTATAAACATATTTGCAATCTACTATATTTCAAGAGAAATTAATGTTTTGACTTTAATTTTGATTTGATTTTGATTGAAAAGGAGTTTCTTAAAAGTATTGATTATGAAAGAATAATAGATGAATTTATTACTAAAATACTAGAAGAACTATTAGAAAATATAAATGTGTTGGATGTTAATTTCTTTTGAATATTTATTTATAGCAAATTGAATTTATTACTAACGAGTAAAGATTTATATATGATACTTAATTACTAACAATTATTGTTAAATATTTTGTTTGATACATATGATATCGTTTGTTTTTATTTATATAGTAATGGTTACTTTTTTATTCTTATTAACAAGTTCACTCATAACATATTTACGTGGTTTTAATAATATAAAATATAGTCTGTAATTTAATTGAATCTTGTTAACAGTTATTTTTGTGATCCTATATTTATTATAAACTTTAATTTTGAATTTAGCCGTAATAAATTAGGTCATAACATCTTACAAGAAATGTTTTTATTGAGCTGCATTTTGTTTATAATGGTCGGGTCTGATAACCATTTTATTGAAAATATTATAATATAACTATGATCTTTCAAGATTTGGATTTCCGAAATGTACTATTTTTTTGTATTGGTAATGTTAGTGATTCTTGGATGAGAAGACAACTTGGTAATGGTATGGATATTCGGTTCTGGTGGGATAAATGGAGGGATGGTTTAAGTCTTAAAATCAAATATGATAGATTTTATGCGCTCTCGTTGGCTAAAGAAGGGGTGGTGAGTGACTACTGGAATGGTGAA